ACTGATTCCAGCGTATTTCCTCTCCGCGTTCGTGCGCGATAGGTTTTCGCTGGCTCATATTTTATCAGGCATCGCTGACCCACGCGATCGTAACGCCAGTTACGGTGGTGAGGGAGGGGAGGGAGGGAAGGACTCCGTGCGGTCAGTCAAGCCGCTGTGAGTGAACAACGAGAGAGATGCGTGTATCCTAAACGGGTATGTAACTCAGTATAGCTCCGGTCAGCTTCCTTCCCTTTGAATTCGGAAGCAAGGCACGTATTACGTACCCAGCGCTGCTTTTCCTAAAACTTTGCGCGCGCCGGCAGAACGCATTCGTGGTGCACTTAGGCGTTCATTGGCAAAAGCGAAATCCCACAGAGAGGCAGAGGATATTAAACTCAGGCTTCTCTACGTTATAGACAGGTATGGATTTCTGGAAAATTATTCATCACTCAAAAGTCCTTTACGTGAAATCCGCGTGACAGCTTCATATCTCGACCACCTGGGTTCTGTGTGACATAATCTCTCGCTTCTCCAGCAGAATTTCCCCTGCGAAATTACCCCCCCCCCATCTGGCTCCTCTGTGATATTCCCCTGTAAGTGACTCCGTAATAATCTCCCTTCTGTATTCCATTTGGCATTCGCCCATCTGGAGCACAGCGTCTTCTGCATCAACGAGCGCGTGCACAGCGCCCTCTGCATCGACGAGCACGTGCACAGCGCCCTCTGCATCGACGAGCGCGTGCACAGCGCCCTCTGTATCGATAAGCGCGCACAGCGCCCTCTGCATCGACGAGCGCGCGCTCAGCGCCCTCTGCGTCGACGAGCGCGTGCACAGCGCCCTCTGCGTCGACGAGCGTGCGCACAGCGCCCTCTGCATCAACGAGCGAGTGCACAGCGCCCTCTGCATCGACGAGCGCGCGCACAGCGCCCTCTGCATCGATGAGTGCATGCAGAGCGCCCTCTGGATCAACGAGCGTGTGCACAGCGCTCTCTGCATCTACAAGCGCACTTACCAGTCGGGTCGTCGAGGTCGGTCATCTTCACCACCAGGTGGAGTACGCTGTCTCCGTCCGCCGTGCTCAGGTGTCGGTCGGGTTTCACGTAGAGGCGGCCTCCGTACGGCTCGACGCCGACGTAGAAGTTCTCGCGCTGCGCCGAATAGCGCACGTCCGAGCGCTCGTCGGCGCCCGACGCCCCGAGCGTGCATCCCGCGATCGTTCCCACCGTCGTCACGGCAACGTCGCACACTAGCGGCGCTTCGTCGCTCGTCTGCCGCTTCAGTCGCCTCGCGCTGCTGCCGCCAGGGGGCGCCTGTGCAGATGGGAACGCGAGTCGGGCGTCCACGCTGCCACGACCCGCGTCCGGACGGCGAGCCGCCATGACGGGTCGAGCGTCGGCGAACTCGACGCGCGCGGGGCGCGACGCGGTCATCGTCGCCGGCGCCACCTGCCTCGCGGCCATCGCGACGCACACCACGAGGATACACAGCGCCGCTGGTCTATCGCCTAGCGCCATGTTGGTAATATCTCACCTGCTGCTATCGAACAGGCCGCGAATTTAAACTGGTGCAAAAACAAACCCGTCTTCTTCTCTCTCTCTCTCTCTCTCTCTCTCTCTCTCTCTCTCTCTCTCTCTC